CGGCTTCTGAGGCAGCGCGAAGGATTAGGCAATCTGGCTAGCTGTGTAGAGATTAGTCCAAACAGTTTAGCAAACCTCTCGACTGTAGAGAAAAAAAATCCATAAACTACAGAGCAAGTGTCCAACCTCCCAGGACAGAAATTAAAATTGGGTCATGATGGTTGGAGGTGGGGTTTTACGGGGGTGGGGTGGGGGGGGGGTTATACAGGGGGTGGGGTTATACAGGAGGTGGAGTTTACAGGGGGAGGGGTAACATTTTTGTTTTGCGATTGTCTACAGCTCCTGAAGGCGGCTGTATAACCCAGGTGTTTATGATTTCTACTTTTCCTTTGTCCCTCAATGGATGATACAGAAATATATTGTAAGCTATGGGACGGCATTCTTCGGTGTCACTTCTTATAAATGGATTCTGCCATCTTTGCAATTTAGGATGAACTGAAAGATATCAAAATTGAGATTAAGGAGGAAGAAGAAGAGAGGTTGGTGAGTGGAGATCAGCAGTCTATGGAGGAGGGGGAGATGAATATGGAAAGTAAACCGGAGGAACCTTCTCTACATATGGACATGAGTAAGTCATAAACAATAAATACAGAAACAGTTCACAATTTACTTTTACTTCCGTGACTATAAAGTATGTCTTTACATTGTTGTTTGAGTTGTAAAAAAGACAAATGTCTAAAAACCCCACATCACCGGGTAAGAGGAGACTTACCCGGTGATGAGGGATCCCCTATTGACCTAGATCCCCATCATCTGATAAACACATAGCAACAATGGATTCAGTCAGTGTGTGTGTTTCCTACAGATGGATCCAGTCATGGGAACCCACCAGAGACATGCCCCTGTCCTCTGTATTCCGGGATTCCACACAGGAAGGTCACACCATCCCTCGCCATCATCAGGTAGATGGATCCAGTCATGGGAACCCACCAGAGACATGCCCCCGTCCTCTGTATTCCCGGGATTCCACACAGGAAGATCACACCATCCCTCATCATCATTCGGTAGGTGGGACGGAACATGTAGACCTAAAAATGTCTTCTAAGCTATGAAAGGACATTCTTCTATGTAATCTCTTGTTCCTTTATACAAATCTATTCTGCCATCTTTTGGGCTTAGGGTGAAGATATAAAAGACATTAAAGTTGAGGATAAAGAGGAAGAAGAAGAGACATCGGTGAGTGAAGATGAAGAGTCTGCGGAGGAGGAGGAGATGAATAATGGAAGTAAAAAGGACGATTCTTCTCTTTATATTGATACAAGTGAGTACAAAAATACTAAATACAAAAATGGTTCACATTTCCATATAACGTCTATAAAGATAAAGTATGTATTTACATTGTTACATGGGTTAAAATATGAGATATGCCCATTGAGGTCGCCTATAAAATCCAAAGTGGTAGTTCATCTAGATAAGGGCAGAAAAGCAACATAAAGTTTGATCCAGTTTTTTACAGGAATTCAAAGAATCGGATAACTCTCCAGATCATAATTCTACAATGATTCTTCCTACAAGTAGTAAATGATCTTCCAATCAGCTAAAACATGTGCTGTCTTTGTTCAAGATAGAGATCTCCACGTGTGAGAAAGAATCAGTACCCCTGACCATTGGTAGCAAGATCATCATCAATATACCTACTCCACCATCTTTCCCAACAAATGAAGTGGAGGAAAAGTATGCCTTATGGTATATGAAATATCCATCTCCACAGCATATGAAATCTCCATTCCTCAATATAACGTCATGTTCCCAACAAATGAGGAGATACTGGACACCATATGAAAGGTCCATCTCCATTCCTCAATATAACGTCATGTTCCCAACAAATGAGGAGGAGATACTGGACACCATATGAAAGGTCCATCTCCATTCCTCAATATAACGTCATGTTCCCAACAAATGAGGAGTAGATACTGGACACCATATGAAAGGTCCACCTCCATTCCTCAATATAACGTCATGTTCCCAACAAATGAGGAGGAGATACTGGACACCATATGAAAGGTCCATCTCCATTCCTCAATATAACGTCATGTTCCCAACAAATGAGGAGTAGATACTGGACACCATATGAAAGGTCCATCTCCATTCCTCAATATAACGTCATGTTCCCAACAAATGAGGAGATACTGGACACCATATGAAAGGTCCATCTCCATTCCTCAATATAACGTCATGTTCCCAACAAATGAGGAGGAGATACTGGACACCATATGAAAGGTCCATCTCCATTCCTCAGTATAACGTCATGTTCCCAACAAATGAGGAGTAGATACTGGACACCATATGAAAGGTCCACCTCCATTCCTCAATAGAACGTCATGTTCCCAACAAATGAAGAGAAGATACTGGACACCACATGAAAGGTCCATCTCCATTCCTCAATATAACGTCATGTTCCCAACAAATGAGAAGATACTGGACACCATATGAAAGGTCCATCTCCATTCCTCAATATAACGTCACGTTCCCAACAAATGGAGAGAAGATACTGGACACCATATGGAAGGTCCATCTCCATTCCTCAATATAACATCATGTTCCCAACAAATGAGGAGGAGATACTGTACACCATATGAAAGGTCCATCTCCATTCCTCAATATAACGTCATGTTCCCAACAAATGAGGAGGAGATACTGGACACCATATGAAAGGTCCATCTCCATTCCTCAATGTAACGTCATGTTCCCAACAAATGAGGAGGAGGGTGCAGCATTTGGGAATGGAAGACAGGTAAGACAGTAAAAATCTGAGTCCCCAGCAAGTGGCTGGAGATTCAGATTTTATCGTTTCCCCTATCCTAGTGCCGTAAGGAGACTGTCTAAGCAGCCCTTTTCTGGCCCTGGTCCTGGATACTCTCCATCCCAATATACATAATCTATAGTATATCCTACCTTCTCCAGAAAAAACCACCCCATACACCACGGCATCCGAGGCTTTGCATTGCACTTGCTGATGTAAGGCTTGGATGCAGCTGCTCAGCCATGGAAACCAATTCCATGAAGCTCTCTACACACTGTTGTTGGGCTCATCTGAAGGCCACACCAAGTTTGGAGGTCTTTAGCTATTGACTCTGCAGACAGTTGGTGACTTCTGTGCACTGTGCGCTTCAGCATGCGCTGACCCCCGCTCTGTCATGTGACGTGGCCTACCACTTGGTGGCTGAGTGGCTGTTGTTCCCAGTTGCTTCCACTTTGTTATAATCCCACTAACAGTTGAGCGTGGAATATTTAGTAGCCAGGAAATGTCACGGATGGACTTATTGCACAGGTGACCACCTATCACGGGACCACGCTTGGAGTCACTGAGCTCCTGAGAGCGACCCATTCTTTCACCAATGTTTGTAGAAGCTGTCTGCATGCCTAGGGGCTTGATTGTATACACCTGTGTCCATGGAGGGGATTGGAACACCTGAATCACATGATTGGGAGGGGATTGGAACACCTGAATCACATGATATGGAGGGGATTGGAACACCTGAATCACATGATAGGGCGGCACAGTGGCTTAGTGGTTAGCACGTCTGCCTTACAGTAAATGGGTCATGGGTTCGATTCCCGACCATGGCGCCTCCTGCATGGAGTTTGCATGTGCTCCCTGTGCCTGCGTGGGTTTCCTCCGGGTACTCTGGTTTCCTTCCACATGCTGGTAGGTGAATTGGCTCCTGTCTAAATTGGCCCTAGTATGTGTATGTATAAGTGTGAGTTAGGGACCTTAGATTGTACGCCCCTTGAGGGTTAGGGACTGATGTGAATGTACAATATATATGTAAAGCGCTGCATAAATTGACAGTGCTATATAAGTGCCTGAAATAAAAAAATACATATGGAGGGGATTGGAACACCTGAATCACATGATATGGAGGGGATTGGCACACCGGAATCACATGATATGGAGGGCGGGGGCCAGTACTTCGGGCAGTAAAGTGTGTGTGTGTGTGGTATGATTGTTCCATGACACCGTTTAGTTGTGTTGTCATCTGATTTCTGTACTATTCAGTGTAACGTTGTTCCCCTCCAGGTGGTCGCTACGTCTCGGAGGATCGTCCTATTTCAGTTGATTCCAATGCGAATTATAGGAACCTCACAAAACCTGTTCCAGGGGTCAATTTCATCATTCAGAATACACAGAGATCTACAGATCCCGCCAAGCGTCAGGAGTCGCCTGATAAATCGCATACAGTAACTCCAGAGTCCTGCACGGAGACCTCAACAGATCCGCCGAATCCCCAGGATTCTTCCCTAGGCCATGAAACCGGAGAGAGTTCATTGTCTTGTTCAATGTGCGGGAAATGTTTTGCTAAAAACCAAGACCTTCTCAAACATCACAGAACCCACAGGGGCGAACGCCCCTTTTCGTGTTCAATGTGCGGGAAATGTTTCACTCAGAAGGCGGCGCACCTTCTCACGCACCAGAAAATTCACACGGCCAAGCGTCCTTTTTCATGCTCGGAGTGCGGGAAAGGTTTCCGCCAGAAAGAAAACCTCCTTACGCATCAGAAAATTCACAAAGCCGAAGTGGTTTATTCGTGCTTGGAGTGCGGGAAAAACTTTTATCAAGAAAAGAAAATTTCTTGCCCACCAAAAAAGTCACAAAGGTCCTCGTCCTTTTTCATGTTCAGTGTGCGGGAAAGGTTTCGCGACGAAACAACACTTAACTATCCACGAGAGGATTCACACGGGTGAGCATCCTTACTCGTGCCCAGAGTGCGGGAAACGTTTCACTCAGAAATCGAACCTCCTTAGACACCAGAGAAGTCACGCGGGTTTGCGCCCTTTTTCGTGTTCACAGTGCGAGAAATGTTTCACTAATAAAAGAAGTCTCCTTAAACACCAAAAAGTTCATACTGGGGAGCGTCCGTATTCATGTTCGGAGTGCGGGAAATGTTTTCCTCGGATAGAAGAACTTCATAAACACCAGAGAATTCACACAGGCGAGCGTCCCTTTTCGTGTTCGGTGTGCGGAAAAAGTTTTACGAAGAATTCACACCTTCTTTCACACCAGAGAGTTCACACGGGTGAGCGCCCTTTTTCGTGTTCAGAGTGCGGGAAATGTTTCACTCAGAAAACAAGCCTTCTTAATCACCTGAGGATCCACACGGGCGAGCGTCCTTATTTATGTTCAGAGTGCGGGAAATGTTTTGTTCGGCTAAAACAACTTCAGAAGCATCAGAAACTTCACACAGGGGAGAGTCCCTATTCCTGCTCAGAGTGCGGGAAACGTTTCAGTCAGAAAGAAGGGCTTCTTATACACCAGAAAATTCACACAGGGGACAGGCCTTATCCGTGCTCGGAGTGCGAGAAAAGTTTCATTCAGAAGGGAGACCTTATTACCCACCAGAGAATCCACACGGGCGTGCGTCCTTTTTCGTGTTCAGAGTGCGGGAAAACTTTCACCATGAAGCAACACTTACTTACACATGAGATAATTCACACGGGGGAGCATCCTTATTCATGCCCAGAGTGCGGGAAACGTTTCAATCAGAAATCAAACCTTTATAGACACCAGAGAAGTCACCTGGGCGTGCGCCCTTTCTCGTGTTCAGAGTGCGGGAAACGTTTTCACCGATAAAAGAAATCTTCTTAAGCACCAAAAAACTCACACGGGGGAGTGTCCTTATTCATGCTCAGAGTGTGGGAAATTTTTCAGTCACAAAGAAGGACTCCTCCTACACCAGAATATTCACACTGGCGAAAAAACCATATTCGTGCTCAGAGTGTGAGAAATGTTTCGTTCAGCAAGAAGACCTTCTAACCCACCAGAAAATTCACACGCGTGAGCGTCCTTTTTCATGTTTAGTGTGCGGGAAATCTTTCACTATGAAACAACACTTAATTACCCACGAGAGAATTCACACGGGTGAACATCCTTATTCGTGCCCGGAGTGCGGGAAACGTTTCACTCAGAAATCGAACCTTCTTAGACACCAGAGAAGTCACATGGGCGAGCGTCCTTTTCCTTGTTCAGAGTGCGGGAAAGGTTTCACTGATAAAAGAAATCTAGTTAAACACCGGAAAATTCACTTGGGTGAGAATCCTAATTCGTTTGAAGGATGAAGGGAATATATTGTTCAGACAGAACTTCACGAACAGAAAATTCACATGGGCGACAGACCTTATTCGTGGTCAGGGTGTGGGAAATGTTTCATTTATAAACAACAGTTACTTGTACACCAGGAAATTCATAAGGGCGAGCATCTTTAGAGTGTGGGAAATGTCGATCTATAGGAAACAAGTGTTACTTCAAGTCACACAGGTGTGCATGCATTCTCATGTGCGGGAAATGTTCTATTTCCAGAGAAGACTTTTATACACACCTGAGGGTTAATACAGGTCAGCGTCCTTATTCATGTCCAGAGTGTTTGAAATGTTTAACCAGAAAAGTAAACTTTTTACAAACCTGAAAATTCCTGCTGGTGAGTGTAATTATTTATGTTCAGAGTGTGGGAAGTGTCTCTCTATGAAAATACACTTGTTGCAGTAGAGAAGTCGCATGGAGGAGCGTCCTTCCTCTTCATAAATATGAGATCATTAACACTGGCTAACGCCATTTTCCATGTTCCGAGTGTGGAAAAGATTTGACTTGAAAGAAAGCCTTGTTGGACACCAAGGAAAGAGCTTTTAGTTCAGAGTGTGGGAAATGTGTTACACCTGAAAGAAATCTACTTAGACATCAGAGAACTATAGGTGGAGTTCTGCAGTGGGATGAGTCTCTTGCTGGCTACAGGTGGAGTCCATTGGGTTGAGTTTCATGCTGACTGCAGGTGGAGTCCATTGGGTTCAGTCTCCTGATGGCTACAGGTGAGGTCCTGCAGTAGGTGGTGTCTTCTGCTGGCTACAGGTAGAGTCCATTGGGTTGAGTTTCATGCTGACTGCAGGTGGAGTCCATTGGGTTGAGTTTTATGCTGACTGCAGGTGGAGTCCTTTGGGTTGAGTCTCCTGCTGGTTACAAGTAGAGTCCATTGGGTTGAGTCTCCTGCTGGTTACAAGTAGAGTCCATTGGGTTGAGACTCCTGATGGCTACAGGTGGAGCCCATTAGGTTGAGACTCCTGATGGCTACAGGTGGAGCCCATTGGGTTGAGACTCCTGATGGCTACAGGTGGAGTCCATTGGGTTGAGACTCCTGATGGCTACAGGTGGAGTCCATTGGGTTGAGTTTCATGCTGACTGCAGGTGGAGTCCATTGGGTTCAGTTTCCTGATGGCTACAGGTGAGGTCCTGCAGTGGGTTCAGTCTTCTGCTGGCTACAGGTGGAGTCCATTGGGTTGAGACTCCTGATGGCTACAGGTGGAGTCCATTGGGTTGAGACTCCTGATGGCTACAGGTGGAGTCCATTGGGTTGAGTCTCCTGCTGACTACAGGTAGAGTCCATTGGGTTGAGTCTCCTGCTGGTTACAGGTAGAGTCCATTGGGTTGAGTCTCCTGCTGGTTACAGGTAGAGTCCATTTGGTTGAGACTCCTGATGGATACAGGTGGAGCCCATTGGGTTGAGTCTCCTGATGGCTACAGGTGGAGTCCATTGGGTTGAGTTTCATGCTGACTGCAGGTGGAGTCCATTGGGTTCAGTTTCCTGATGGCTACAGGTGAGGTCCTGCAGTGGGTTCAGTCTTCTGCTGGCTACAGGTGGAGTCCATTGGGTTGAGTCTCCTGATGGCTACAGGTGGAGCCCAGTGGGTTGAGTCTCCTGATGGCTACAGGTGGAGCCCAGTGGGTTGCATCTCGTGCTGGCTACAGGTGGAGTCCATTGGGTTGAGTCTCCTGATGGCTACAGGTGGAGCCCAGTGGGTTGAGTCTCCTGATGGCTACAGATGGAGCCCAGTGGGTTGAGTCTCCTGATGGCTACAGATGGAGCCCAGTGGGGGTTGCATCTCGTGAGTCTGGCTACAGGTGGAGTCCATTGGGTTGAGCCTTGTGCTGGCTACAGGTGGAGCCCAGTGGGTTGAGTCTCCTGATGGCTACAGGTGGAGCCCAGTGGGTTGCATCTCGTGCTGGCTACAGGTGGAGTCCATTGGGTTGAGCCTCGTGCTGGCTACAGGTGGAGTCCATTGGGTTGAGCCTCGTGCTGGCTACAGGTGGAGTCCATTGGGTTGAGTCTCGTGCTGGCTACAGGTGGAGTCCATTGGGTTGGGTTGAGTCCATTGGGTTGAGTCTCGTGCTGGCTACAGGTGGAGTCCATTGGGTTGAGTCTCGTGCTGGCTACAGGTGGAGTCCATTGGGTTGAGTCTCGTGCTGGCTACAGGTGGAGTCCATTGGGTTGAGTCTCGTGCTGGCTACAGGTGGAGTCCATTGGGTTGAGTCTCGTGCTGGCTACAGGTGGAGTCCATTGGGTTGAGTCTCGTGCTGGCTACAGGTGGAGTCCATTGGGTTGAGTCTCGTGCTGGCTACAGGTGGAGTCCATTGGGTTGAGTCTCGTGCTGGCTACAGGTGGAGTCCATTGGGTTGAGTCTTGTGCTGGCTACAGGTGGAGCCTCGTGCTGGCTACAGGTGGAGTCCATTGGGTTGAGCCTCGCGCTGGCTACAATTGGCATCCTTTGGGGTGAGTCTTCTGCTGGATGCGGTAGCCCTCATATGGGTATGTAGCCCCCAAGAACCCTGGAGGTAGGAGTTTCCTGCTAGATCCTTTTTTTTTCTTCTTGGAGATTCCGTTGGTGACATCTGTCTACTACAGTTCCCATCTTTATATCTGCCAACATTGTAGAGCCAGGAACTCTGGAGATAGGATACCAGGGAACCTTTGTAATCCCACAATCCTCAGATCCTCTAGGGGGGAGGATAGACCCTGATGGTGTGCTTACTACCTCCGGGGTATTAGGGGTGTGAAAAAAAATTGACATTTTTTAGAGCATGTTATGGGCCACTTGGGATGAAATGTTAGTAAGACAACCGCACTAAACTGTGGAGGTGTCCATCGAAGATCGGTAGCACGCTAGTTGTCATGACAATACATGGACAACCGTACCAACATGCAGTGGCAGGATTGCCTAGTCAAGAAAATTGTGGAATATCCAATCCAATCAGGAATTGTCTTTAAACAATGAACATTTTTTTTATAAGTTGCTGCATGTCATTGTTCTTATTTTATTTATATATATTTTTGTTCTGCTGGGTTTTCATTGGTCCAGCCAATGTATAATAAATTTGATGTCCTTTTTGTACAAGATTTGATTTCAACTTGGCCTGTTTTGTTGTATGTCAATCAGTCCGCATCTCTAAAATAAAAAAGAAAGCTCTACGTCTGACAGTATTCTGTTGAGTCCCTTTTTCTTTTTTCTTTTTCTTTTTTTTTTTTTTGTAATAATTGTTACAGCGTTGTAGATGATTGGTGATTGGAATGCGTTCAGTTCATACAGAATCATTTATAAACATCATAAACAGCGCAAATAATTAAATCATATCAAAATTAAATATATATATATATAAACAAATAGTCCCACTCCAAAACTCGTGTAAAATTATAAAAAAATATAAAGTACCAAAAAATATATAAACAAAAAAAGTCCTTGTTCCAAAGAAGTGCGCTTCCACCATAACACAGTGCTTCAACCAACATATACTGCACTCACCAGATCCTGGTGAAATAGACGCCTTTTAGGGATCCTAGACCCTGCTGATCAGCCTCCAGACCTCCACTCCACCACGTGGGACCTAGTGGAGAAGTTGAAAGTTTGAATAAAGGTCCCATGTGGTGGAGTGGAGGTCTGGAGGCTGATCAGCAGGGTCTGGGATCCCTAAAATACCTAAAAGACGTATATTTCACCTGAATCTGGTGAGTGCAGTATATGTTGGTTGAAGCACTGTGTTATGGTGGAAGTACACTTCTTTGGAACAAGGTCTTTTCCTGTTTATATATTTTTTGGCACTTATATATTTTTTATAATTGTACACAAGTTTTGGCGTGGGGCTATTTGTTTATATATACATTTAATTTTTAGATGATTTTTATATGATTTAATTATTTGCGCAGTTTATGATGTTCATATATTTTTTTGTGTATTTTGCACTTATGTGCAGCAGCATTTAATTTTATTAATTGGGTACACATATTTCTTTGGCGTTGGGGATTTATGATTATAAATACATACAGAATCATTGATTGAATTTTTCAGTCGAATATCTCTTTAGGTTCACGTCTATGCAGGTTGCGGTTGATGCGTTAGGCCAATAGCCCACCAATAATTTCAAGTCGTGCGAACTTTTTCAGGATCAGCGCTGTTTTCTGCTACTAGAGCCTCCAGAGCCATGATGTCATTGAGTATCTAGGTGAAAGGATCGATTTTCTTTATCCCCTCAGCAGGGGCGGACTGACCATTTGGAAACTTGGGCACTGCCCGAGGCCCGGGGTCAGTAGGGGGCCCCATGAGATGCCCCTGGTACCTTTTTCATAGGCTTTTTTGAGTTTGGGCAAGGACACAGGGGCCCCATGATCCCCTATTGCCCGGGGGCCCCATGAGTTGTCAGTCCGCCCCTGCCCCTCAGAGACCCCCGACCTGTGGAGAGATTCTTGGTTA